AAGGAAGAAGCCTATTCTCCAGACACCGGACCCAGACAATGGGCAGAAGGGTCTCCACCCAAAAAACTCAATTCAAAGTCCCAGACGTGGGAGGCAAAGACCCGGTGCTTCATGTTTTCAGCCAGTGCTGTCCTCTGGCAGCCCTGGCCATTGTGAGAAATCTGGACAGTCCCTTCAAAAAGGCCCTACTCCTTCAAGTCCCTGCTGGCCACCAGTCCTCTGCTGGCGGCTTCTCTGGCTTTCTCAGTCAGCTCACGGTAGCGCTGAACTGCCAGAATTGTTCTTCACCACTGAGAGGAGGCAATCAGTAGGAAGATGCCCCAGCTTCTAGTCTCTTACTCATTCCTTCAAAGGGCCCCAGGATTGAGCTCACAGGGGATCCTGCTCAAAGGGTGGAGTGACTGTTCTTCTTTCCTGCTTTGTGTGCCCTTCTCACTCTGGCTCTCTAGATAACCTCCCTCACAACCTCTTCCCATCTCCTCTCAGACTACTGGAGGAAGAGAGGGAGAGATGCAGATTAAGTCCCATGTACCTACATGTATGACTAAGGAAATGCCTTCTGGATCCCTAGCCGCTGCCCACAGCTGGACATATGTTTCTATAGTGATATCTTGCTTATCCTCACAAATAGAAATAAATCTAAAGCTGGGCAGTGATGAATCACATAGGCAATCCTAGATACTCAGAAGCTTAGAGTTGAGGATTGTGGTTCAAAGCCAGCCAGGAAGAAAAGTCTAAGAGATTCTTCTCTCCATTTAACCATCAAAAAGCTGGTTCAAGTGGTAGAGAGCTACCTTGAGCAAAAAAAAAAAAAAGCTTAGAAACAGCACCCAGGCCCTGAGTTCAAGTTTCAGCACTAGTGTACAAAAAATTATATGTACTATGTGGAAATTGAACTGTGTGCTACTTGTGGACAAGAATAAGGAAAAGTGGGGGAAAGTGAAGATAGAGGTGACATTGTCCAAAAAGAAATGTACTCATTACCCAACTTATGAAACACTAACCCCTCTGTACAATATCTTAATAATAACAATAAAATTATATTAAAATTGCACTTGGGGTAAATATAAATAAAACTACTAACACTCCTCATACAGCTGGAGGACTGAACACATAAAATAGAGTGTCCCTGGGAGGGACAGAGCCCATGATCTTTTGCCCCAGGGCTTTCCTTGTTTCCTAATATCAGTGAGGTTCAGGTCGATTTTCCATGGGTTCAGACTGGCCCTGTGGGACTTCGAAGAGTAAATCCAGCCCTCCTTCCCCCAAAAATGGATTTGCCGGGCGGTGGTAGCTTACGCCTGTAATTCTAGCTACTCAGGTGGGTGAAATTTGAGGATCACAGCTCAAAGACAGCCCAGGCAGGAAAGTCTGTGGGAATCTTATCTCCAATTAACCACCAAAATACTGAAAGTGGTGCTGTGGTTCAAATGGTAGAGCACTAGCCTTGAGGAAGAGCTCAGGGACAGCACCCAGGCCCAGAGTTCAAGCCCCACGACTGACAAAAGAAAAGAAAAGAACTATCAGGACCCTGTGAGACTACAGAAGACTTTCTAGAAGTGGTCTGCTCACATTCCAGATATCCTGTGCCTGACTGGAAAGCCCAGTCCAGGGTCTAGTCATTGTCTCTGTTTTATGCCCCCTTGGGAGAGAATTTCTAAACTTAGATACTCCCTCCTCTGAGAAATTTTCAGAGATTCACCCTGGCCCATAAGGACCTTCTTCCAGGTCTCCAAAATACTTTTCTCATGGCTGCCATGATGGTATGCTCTATTGCCTTTCTGCTATGAGCCCTGATCCTGGTCTCCTAGATACCTATGTCAGGTATCCCTGTGCTTGGCATAATCTTACATGTAAATACCTATGAAGAAGGCATGAGACTACAAAAGTTCTCTAGCAGAGGTTAAGACTGGAGCAAGAATGTAGAAGTGAGTATGATTCCAAAGCCAGATGCACATACAGTGATTTAAAAAACTTTATTTTTCCCCCAGATGCTAGGGCTTGAACTCAAGGCCTGGGTACTGTCCCTGAGCCTCTTTGTGTGCGAGGCTAGCACTCTACCACTTGAGCCACAGCTCCACTTCTGGATTTTTCTGAAGTTACTGAAGATGTCTCACAGACTTTCCTGCCTGGGCTGGCTTCAAACCACCATCATCAGATCGCAGCCTCCTGAGTAGCTAGGATTGCAGCTGTAAGCCACTAGCACCAGGCTCTCACAAGTGAATTTTTTCCCCATAAGAAGACAAATCTGTGAAAATACAATTGCTCCCTAGCCTCCATGCCTTACTGCTTTGAAGGGCTATAAGAAGCTTGTGCTCAGAAGCTAGGAGCTGGGTGGCTCACATTTGTCACCCTAGTTACTCAGGAGACTAAGATCTGAGGATCATGGTTCAAAGCCAGCCTAGTTAGGAAATGCTGTGACGCTCTTATTTCCAAATAACAATAAAAAAAAAAAAAGCAAAGCTTGGGCTCAAAGTATCTTGCAAATGAGCATATTCAAACTGAGCCCTTAAAGCTCAAACCTAAAGCCAGCCATTTTGAGCTACCCAAATGCATGAAGGCAAAGAGATGGAATTCACACTGGTGCTCTCCTTCCTCAAAGAAGCTATAAAAATCAATCCCTTCCCTTTCCTGACATATCTAATTGTAATCCACATGAGAGCTATTTATTTTGTAGTATGACGTCTGGAATTACATAGGCAACTGCTCTACTTGTAAAGATCAGATCTACAGGTAAGATTCCTTTTCAGATCTAAGGAAGGCTGTGAGCAAAAGCCAGCTTTGTTTTCTATAGCATGGGCCAGGTTACTCTTGTAACTGCAAAGGACTTCCTTTAGAGGCTAATTTGTCAAAATGTTTTCTTTGAATGTTCTGGAATAATTAGCTACACTAAGAAATATTCCACATAGTAAAGATGAACCAAGAGACAAAAAGCATCATGAAGACAAGCAAACATAGCTTACAAATGTCTAGTGAAAAATCAGGCATCAGTGGCTGGACCCTGTCATCTTAGCTACTCTGGAAGCTGAAATCTAAGGATTGTGCTTCAAAGCCAGCCTAAACAGGAAACTCCATGAGATTCTCATCTCTAATGACCAGAAAACCAGACATGGAGGTGTGGCTCAAATGGAGAGTTCCAGTCTTGAGTGAACAAGATAAGGGACAGCACCCAAGCCTGAGTTCAAGCTCTAGTAACAGCCTACGCATGCGGGTGTGTGGACATGTGTGCACGAGTGAGCACATGTGTGTGCACACGTGCATGCACACACACACACACACACACACACAGAGTCCAATGAAACCCAAGGCAATTCTGGTGTCATTTGAATTCAAAACCAAGTTTTCTAAGTCTGTGAGGCATACTCCACTTGCCTGATCATATATTGCTTCACTTTCTCACAAATCTAATGAAACGATGCTGGACTGAGACATCCAACATCCAAATCCACCAATGTCTGCCCCACCTGCTTTCTTCTACAATGTTATTATTGCTTTTGTCCAGCTGAGTTGTAGTCCAGAGATCTCCAAGAAAGGAATACAAGAGTTATTCACTTGCTCGCCTCTTTCCCACACACCACTACATGATAAGAACAACACTTAATCTATGTCCCTTAAGTGCACCTCACTCCTTTGCATGCGGATCTTTCTCCTCAACACTGGGAAGCTGAGCTTAGCAGACAGCACACTTTGCCTGAGAGGACACAGGTGCATAGCTAGCAGCAGAGCCCAATAACTATATCAGATTTTAAGTGACATGAAATCACCACAGAAGTTCTAGGACATGTAAAGGAATTCAGTTAAAATCGACTAAAACACTACCACATAGGAGAATATGACTAATGCATGCATTGCACACAATCCATATACACATGAAGCATTGGCCACTTCATTGCACCCATGTGCCCTATTCACAAGTACCATGAATAAATGCTTAACCAAAGAAACATTCCAGCTTTGCTTCTCATTGCTCTCATTTCAAAAGACCATTCTTTTGCCATTGAAAGTTTCACAAACCATTTTCTACAACTTAGAGGAGATGGACTTCTTACAAGTGTAGACCAATGGTGTTAGAATGTTCTTAACCACATGTCATGAATTGCTTTTTGAAAAGAGAAAAATCAACTCTTAACCATGACCTTCTCCAGTGAGGAGAAAAGAGGTATTATTATGGTACTTAGCACATTGCTTAGAAGATAATTACAACATATAATTACTTTCTGGGAAATTGCTCTACCACTGAGCTACATCCTGAGCCCAATAATTGCTTTCTAACTCAAAGATATGCAATACAGTGATTTGAATAAGGTGTACATGAGGCATTTTCTGACCAAAGCAGACGAAACTTCTTGGCCACAGAAAAACATCTATTTCACAGATTCTGTCCTCATTCTCTAGAAAGTGATAGAAACTGGTATCTTTTTTCTAATGGCATGAACTTTACTAGTCTATGAATAAACTCTACTACAACAATGCTTATATGTTGACCTTTGAGAAGTTTACAATTCAGTTATTACTGAAGAGTATGTATAAACTGTTCAAAATCATTAACAAATAATTGGCATGCTTTCCTAAATTATCTACACCTATGAATATTTCCACTTTCAATTGTACGCAGTTCATTCTTGAGGCTTACCATTGGAAATTCTCTCTTGACATCTTGAGATTCCTTTTTAAGAAGAACACGGTGCAGTACATTTTAGATTATCAATCTCATATTAGAGTTCCCTATGTAAACAACGGACATAAACATTGAGGTTGTTCCATACTTCTATGAATTAACTAAACAAATTACAGTGGAAGGGTTGTTTCCTACGTGGCGATCTTGTCATGTTCACAAAGGTGAACTAGATGTCATGTATCACAAAGATGAACTAGCACACAAACCTGTTAAGACACTGCAAGTCCTGACTCACCACCAGTCTCAATTGCTAGATTGAAAAACTCTGAGATCGTTCTTTACTGAGGCAAAATCATAGGAGTCCATTTTTATGAAGGCTTACCTGGTAATTTGTGTTCTTGTACTGAAGTCAAGAGACCTCATTGAGCGCAGAACTTCAATGCACCCCAAGTACTGCAAGGGGAAGAAATGAAAATCATGAACCCAGGGAACTGAAATGAGAAAAACATTCTTAATTACAAGGGCATTTTTTGAAGCAATGGACTCTTTTCTTTTTGGCCAGGGCTAGGGCTTGAAATTAGGGCCTGGGTGCTGTCTCATAGCTTTTTTTTCTCAAGCCTGGTGCTGTACAACTTGAGCCACACTTCAACCTCCAGCTTTTTAGTGATTAATTGGAGATAAGAGTCTCACAGACTTTCCTACTAAGGCTGGCTTTGAACCAAGATGCTCAGACCTCAGTCTCCTGAATAGCTGGGAATACAAGTATGATCTACTAGCACCCAGCTTAATGTACATTTCTTTCTTTTTTATTTATTTTTGTGCTGATCCTGGGGCTTAAACTCAGGGCCTAGCACTGTCCCTGAGCATTCTTCATTTAATTTATTTTTGCCAGCCCTGGGGCTTGAACTCAGGGCTTCAGCACTGTCCTTAAGCTTCTTTTGTTAAAGGCTAGCACTCTACTACTTGAACCACAGTGCCACTTCTAGCTCTTTCTGTTTATTTGGTACTTAGGAATCAAACCCAAGGCTTCATGGATTCTAGTCAAGCACTCTACTAGTAAGCCACATTCCCAGCCCTCCCCGAGCATTTTGTTGTTGTTGTTCTGGTTTGTTTGTTTGCTTTTGTTTTGTTTTTGCTCAAAGCTACCACTTGCTCTACCACTTAAGCCATACCTCTACTTCCAGCTCTTTGTTGGTAAATTGGAGAGTAGAGTCACAGGGACTTCCCTGCCTCAGTTGGCTTTGAATTGGGATCCTTAGATCTCAGCATTCTGAGTAGCTAAGATTATAGGCATGAGCCACCCAGATTTGCTTAACGTGCATTTCTTAAATCAAATTTTAAGTCTAAGTTCCATGGTAAGGTTTGTTCATATCTATAAGAGAATATTTAGAGTTCTTAAATTGTCACTACATTTGATTTTTTTTTTGAAACAAGGTATCACTATTTAGCTTCAGGCTCACCTTAAATTCATAGTCTTTCTTGCCTTAGCCGCCCAAGTGTTGAGATTACAATCATGTACTAACACACATGGCTTGCACTTGAATTTTCTAAAGCCTACTAGTATTTCACTTTGATGAACACTTTATTGTGGAGCAACTTATACATCACAAATTACAGAAATCGTAAATCTTTAACCAAATGCTATTTCAACACATTTAACACCCAGATCTCAACATCATAATTTTAGTTCTTGTCTCTTCTAAAGATGTATAAACATAGGCCCAAGACCAGTGGCTTACACCTGTAGTTCTAGCTAAGGTCTAAGGATTTTGGTTTGAGGCTAACCGGGGCAAGAAAGTCCTTGGGTCTTATCTCTAGTTAACCATCAAAAAACTGGAGGTGGAGCTGTGGTTCAAGTGATAGAGAGTGCTAGCCATAAGCAAAAGAGCTCAGGGACAGCACCCAGGCCCTGAATTCAAGTCCCAGGACTGGTACCAAAAAAGAAATTTAAAAGCAGAATGAAAATACAGAATGACTCATGCTTTCTTTAACATTAAACTTCACTTTCTAACAAATACATTGTGAATCTATGAAAAATCTACTTTAGCTTACCAGAAAGCCTTCTTATACATTATTTGCCATATATTTTCTGAAGTTCAAATTTACACGTCTCAATGTATAGCTAAATTCATACATGAAGAACATATAAAGCAATGTGCACATAATTAAATTATGATGAAGAACTAAATACAACATTTACAATCTTAGTTTTTGAGAGTTTAAAGATACAGATGTTTGACACAAATGCCTAGATTTAACAAACAAACCTCATGATGTGGGACAGAAAAGACTGCATTTGAATTATTCATAAGACCTAAATGTGAGCCTGGCCTTGTCATCTTGTTATGGAACTTTAAGGAACATTTGGCATCCTTGAGTGGCTCTACAGCCATGCCTGGGGCTCTTCCTCCCCATTAATATTCCAGCTATTTGATTATCTCTATCACCAACCCAGTCATGTGGAAGCCACTGAGATTTATGAGGGAGACTACCATAACACAGAAATCGTGTGACTATGACAACTGACACCATTGCTGTTTTTATAAAATAACAGGGCCAGTGTCCCAGAGGTATGCGATAATTATCACTATCAAGCCACAGGGTTATATGCAAATACCCTCTTTGCAGAGGTATGTCAACTTCATGGCCAATGTCACAGTTACATGAATGTCACAGCCCACAAAATTGTGTGAATGCCAGGCACATTGATGTCCTGAGTCTGGAAATATGACCAGCAGATACATCAAATACCATAACCCACACTGAAGAAAACCACAAGAAATAATATGGTGGAGTTATATGGTCACCACCATTGTGTAAATATCATGACAATGTAATTCGTTACATGGAAATGATAAACATCAGTGTAGAATTATATCGTTACCATCACCACTGTTGCACAGTTATAAAATACTTTCCTCACCATGGCTATGTATTTCCATGAAAAAGGCAACCCAAACCCCAAATTAATATAAATAGCACATCTACCATTACCATGTTATATGAAAACCATGACCCATATCACAGAGTTATATGAACATCCTCCCACACCATGGATGCATCGTTATGTGAATTCCATGACCAAAAGTTTAAAAATGGTAAGAGCATAACTGTTATAACATTGCAGAATTATGTGAATACAGTTCCCGCCACTGTTTCAGAGTTTTGTGACTTCCCAACAATTTATACCTTCTGAACTGTTTATGAATACCCTAGTTACCAGTGAAGGTTTTAAGACAACTACCACCTGTATTATGAAGTTATGTGGAGCTCACCAATCTGTGGTGGGTCATGTGATAACCCTTGTCTTCCAGGTCCAGCCATCACATTTAGGAGTAAGGTGATTAAATATCATGACCACACCCAACTTTGTAGTTCTAAGATCACTATATATACAATATCATTACAGTCACATGACTATATCTACAGATACCATCATAGAGCTGTTTGAATAGCACATCTGCTGTGGCATAAGAGAGTATAAATCCCATACAATTATTCAAATGCTACCCCCAACAACATTGAAACATATGTTAGTATCATAACCAGAACCATGGCATTATTCAAATATTGCTACCACTCCTGTTCAGAGCTTTGAAAATACCACAATGACCAAGGTAGCTGAGTAATGTAAATGTTCTGGACTAATGGCATAGTTCACCGCAGCTGCTACTACCTTGCAATGATATATCACTGCCAATGCCACTATTGTGACAGAGTCACAAAAATGTCACGGCCAAGGTAGAGAGTCCCATGAATAAGACCATCACCACCATCACAAGATGACTAGCACCACAAATGCTCCACAATTACACCAATACATTAAAAACATAGCAGAGTGATAGGCACACCATGATGAATTTCACGTAAGATCTGAGTTCACCTCCACCAGTGTTTTGAATCATGGGAATTCATGTACCTATTTAAGTATCACCTCTGTCACTCTCGTGGTACTTGGTCAGTGCCATGGAGAACTCAGTTCTCGGAAGAGTTACAGTCATGTAACCATAGTTACAGAGTTATCATATACCACCAACACTGTCTCAGAGATACATGCATGAATAAGGTCACTAAGTAATGTAAGTACCACTAATAGTGATACAGTGATGTGTGTGAACAGCACTAAGAGTGTCATTGATTTACGTAAACATTGTAGGCTAAAAGAACATCAACACCATCAAGAGTAACGATGTGGCAGATATGCTCAAAGCCGCAAAGTTATGTGAACACTACCACAAATGCCACAGAAACATGTAGAGCCCACAATGTCACTGGGATGAGAGTTCACAATCAATGTCACTGACACCAGCAAACCACCATCAGAGTCAAATGAACACCACCAACCCCAGTGTAGCAAAGTCGCACACATCCACAGCTACAGAAATCCATGAAATTCACCACCGCAGTGGAAAATTGCGTAATCATCATGTCACCGTATCATGTAGTGACTGACACCACAGTGTTACACAGTGACATCAGGACCACACAAATGTGACAGAAGATGACAATGGTCATGGGGTTCAGTGAACACTGCCATCACCCACCTTGTAAGAACAAGGCTGGAGAATATCCAGCCCTCGGGCTATACGAGGCCCCAAATCATTTGGTCTAACCCTGCAAAGGAAATCACAGGCAGGACTCAAAATTCAATTAATCTAGGTGTTATTTTGCTCATAGCAAAATAAATGTATAGTAAGTGAATGGTGTTAATGTAAAATCTGAGGGACAAGCAAGGTACATCCATTATTGGATAGACAGGACATATACAGCAATGTATTCTTCTCATTGGCTGCCTGGGGCCATCTAACGATATTGCAATGACTCAGAGGGCAGTGTTAACACACTGGCAAAATTCCAGTGGTCCACTGATGGAGGAGCTGTGATAGATGATTCCTCATGAATGCTGATGATTGACAACAATGTCATAGACTTCTCTGTATTCACAGATGATAGCTCCATCCAACCTTTATGCACGTCCATCATCAACCATCTCCATAAAAGAGTCATATATATATATACTTATTACCTTACTCTTGAACGTTACTCTGTAATCCTTTTGTTCATCACTTTTACAATAAATAAATAAAAATTTTAAATTTAATTTTTTTTTAAAAAGAGAGTTAGTGAAGGTTAGGGAAATCACGGTACACAGAAAAGACCTCAAAAGTTGATGATAAAAACATTGGATGTGCTCCAAATCCAAGATGCAGGGTTAGAACAGCAATCCAAGCAAAATAATCACATCCCTGGTAAAATTCATACCAGACGGTTATTGAAATTAAAGTGGCATGACATCCTACAAATCACATCTAGGAAGAAAAGCTGATGCTATGTGCTGGTGGCTCACACTTGTAATCCTTGCTACTCAGGAGCCTTGAGATCTGAGAATCAAGTTTCAAAGTCAGCCTATGAAGAAAAATCTGAGACTTTTATCTCCAGTTAACCAGAAAAAA